CGAGCGAGCGGGCGTATCAGGGGATCGAAAATCGACTGTGGCTGCAGCAGCCAGCCGCAGCAGCCCGCACAAACAGCGGGGCGAAAACTGCAATGGGCCCGCGGCCCGTCTCGCCAACCTCCGGGGAGGGCGCCCGAGCTTTGGCCCGAACCGCAGTCCTCCCCTCCAGCCCGCTGGCCCTGGCCCCAGGGTGACCCCTGGCCGACGACGACGACGACGACGACGACGACGACGACGACGGCGACGACAAGAACGACGACAAGAACGACGACGAAAACGACGACTTCGACGATTTCGGCGACGACAACGACGACGACGACGACGATCCCACAGACGTCTGGCCCTCGGGGATTCGTGAGGGGCGCCACAGAAGCTACTCAGAGCTTGGGTCCGCCGACGCCGACGCCGACGCCGACGCCGCCGACACCGACGCCGACGACGACGACGGCGACGACGACGACACCGACGCCGACACCGACGCCGACGCATACGCCGACGCAGACGCCGACGACAACGACGACGACGACGACGACGACCACGACAACAACGACGACGACGACGATCGCGCAGACGTCTAGTCCTCCAGGCCTTTTGAGAGGCATCACAGAAGCCACCCAGGGCTTTGGCCCGCCGACGCCGACGCCGACGCCGACCCGACGCCAACGCCGACGCCGACGCCAACGCCGACGCCGACGACGACGACGACGACGACGACGAGTACGACTTCGACGACGACGATCGAGCAGACGCCGAGCCCTCTGGGCCTCGCGAGGGGCACCACAGAAAACACTCAGAGCTTGGGCCCGCCGACGCCGGCGCCGACCCCGACGCCGACGCCGACGCCGACGCCGACGCCGACGCCGACGCCGACGCCGACGCCGACGCCGACGCCGACGCCGACGCCGACGACGACGACGACGACGACGACGACGACGACGACAGCGACGACGACGACGACGACGACGACGACGACGACGACGACTGCGACGACGACGACGACGACGACGACGACGACGACGACCACCACGGCGGCGACAATCACGCAGACGTCTAGACCTCCGGGCCTCGTGAAGGACGCCCTATAGAAGCGACCTGGGCCTCCGCGAGAAATCCGGGGCCACCCTGGGCCAGCGTCGACCCTGCCAACGCCCGACCCCTGTGCCCCCTCCCGCCCCGTGGACCCCTGTGGAGCGCACGGGGCGGGCCCCGCGACGGGCGCGGCTCAGCGCTTGAGGAGGAACTCCTGGGCCAGGAACGAGGTGACGCCGATCATGGCCAGCCTGCCGACGTTCACCTCGACGTTGTGGAGATAGACCTTGTTCTCGATCCCCTTCCCCTTCAGGACTCCGACGGGGTCGAAGCCGAGGTCACCGGGGCAACGGTCCTTTTTGTACTCCACGCTGAGGAAGTTGCCGTCGTCCTCGCTCTTCTGCAGGTTGTACTCCGCCAGCGCCTGGTACCCGAGCCCAACCAGCAGCACTGGGGCCTGCACCTCGTCCAGGCCCAGGGTCCCGTCCAGGTTGTCCACTGCGTCCTTGAAGCCCAGCAGCCTCGCGACGGCCCCGCGGTCCGCGTCCTCGAAGAAGATGGCCAGGAAGGCCACCATGGCGAAGCGGCCGTGCTTCACCTCGGACTCGCGGTAGTTGTAATATGTCGTCTCGGGGACCGCCGTCGGCGCCTTGTCGAAGACGCCCGTGCCGACGGCCAGGTTCAGCGGATCGAAGCCCAGGTCCGCGCCCGCCAGCCAGGGGTCGCTGTAGTCCTTGTAGCTCTGCGCGGCCTGGCGCCGCGCGCCGCCGCCGCGCTGCCTCCGCCGCTGCGCACCGACCACGGCGAACGCGCAGCCCAGGCCGAGCGGCGCGAGCAGCCCGGCGCGGCCGCCCGCGGCCGTGCCGGGGGCGCCCGCCGACGGCGCGCCGCGGAGCGCGGCGGCCCTGGCGGTCGGGGCGACACCCGCGGCCGCGGGGGTCACAAAGGCGGAGGCGGGGAGCTCCATGCTCGGCGGGGCGGGGCGCTGCCGGGGCGCCTGGAGCTGGGGGACAAAAGAGGGCCGCGCTGGAACGGCCGAAAAAGCCCGAGTGGGAACGGCTGCGGGGGAGGAGGAGATGGGCCAGAGAGCCGCGGGCCCGAGCGATCTCGGCCAGTGACGAGCGTGGCGCCCCTCGCCTCGCCAGGCGGGCACCCGGGACCAGAGACTTCTCCAACGTCCCTTGGCGTCGGGGCCATGCTTACATTTCCAAGCCAGAACCCGAGCTTGGAAACCTGGCCTCCGTCCGTGAAGCCGATGGAGGGACCTCAAGCCGCAGGCTCATGACTTATGAGGCCATCCGAAGCTAGGACCAAGTTCTGAAACCGTTCCTGACATCAACGGGAAGCGCGTAAAAGCAACGAGTTGCGCAAGAACGTGCAGCATCATCACGATCAAATGGAATGTACGCGAGTTCTCCGAACGCCCACAGGGAATACCCATGGAAACGCGCTCCCCGAACGATCGCAAGCACGCTGCTGAGTCTCCTCTCACGTACTGTGCCTATCCAATATACTTCGTCTCCCCCACGTTCACATTCATGATGATGATGCTGATGATCATCAGCTTCATGATGATGATGATGACGCTGACCATCATCATCACCCTGATCAGCATCACCATCATCATCAGCAGCATCAGCAACATCATCATCATCATCAGCATCATCGTCATAAGCATCATCCTTATAATCAGCATCATCGTCATCATCAGCACCATCATCATCACAATTTCCATCATCATCACCCTCATCCTTATCATCATCTGCATCAGCATCATCAGTATCACCATCACCAGCACCGCATTGCATGATCATCACCACCATCAACAGCAGCAACAGCAAAGGCAAGATCATCACCATCGTCATCAGTATCTTATCACAATGATCAGGGTCAGCACCATCAATAGTATCAGCATCATCATAAACATTGGCTTCGCAACACCAGCGACATCAGCATACTCACCATCATCATCGTCACCACCATCGCCGCAATCATCATCCATCATCAACATCAGCATCATAATCGTCATCGTCATCATCGTCAACATCACCACCACCACCATCACTATCAACATCATGATCATCACCATCATCAACATCATCATCACCGTCCTCATCATCATCATCATCATCATCAACATCATCATCATCATCATCATCATCATCATCATCATCACTACCACCATCATCGGCATCGCCGAGATCTCCATCGTAATCTGATGGTTTCGGTGACCCTTCCGAAGCGCTTACGTTTTAACAGAAGTAATTTAAAACCAAGCCTGGGTGCCCGGGTTCCCGGGTGCCCCGGTGCCCGTGCCCGGGTGCCTGGGTGCCCGGGTGCCTGGGTGTCCAGGTGCCCGGGTGCCCAGGTGCCCGGTAGCTCTATGTATATATGTATGTATATATATATATATATAGCCCTATAGCCCTGTAGCCCTGTAGCCCTATGGCCTGAATAGCCCCATAGCCTTGTTGCCCCATAGCCCTATAGCCCACCAGGCCCATAACCCTATAGCCCAATAGCCCTATAGCCCTATGGTCCTGTAGCCATGTAGCCCTATAGCCCCATAGCCTTTAGCCCTATAGCCTTATCGCCCCATAGCCCTAAAGCCTTACAAAGATTATGATTGATGTTTCTCCGGTATCATTGGTTTAATAAGTGCGTGGGCCACCTTGAAACCATCCAAGAGCGCTCCGATAAATCTCTCGAAACAGTGACTGTTGCATCCCATTTCTTCGAGTGTGTCTCAGGCCAAACGGCCATGGTTGGAAGTTCCGAAGTAGTCCAGCGAGTTCAACATCACCATGTTCTGATGATGGCTCAGACAAAACGTTCGTTTTTAGCATACGACGTCTTAAATAATAGCTTCAGGCATGTCGATTGTGAGAGGATATCTCAAACGAAACGCTTGTTTTCCGAACCTGTCCTGGCATGAACGGAAATCGCGTACAAGCGATAAGTAGCGCAAGAACGTACAGCATCATTAAAATAACATGAGTGTGCGCGAGCTCTCCGACGTCCACAGGGGATACCTATGAAACGCGCTCCCCGAAGGTTCGCAAGCACGTTTCTGAGTAACATTTCACTCACTGTGCACCTCCGATTCCCTTCATCTCCCCCTCACTGTCATAATCATCGTCACCAGCATCATCGTCACTATCACCAGCACCCACATCGCATCATCGTCACCATCATCACCAGCATAATAGCAGTAGAAGTATGATCAGCGTCATCACCGTTACCATCCTGAACACCATCATGATGATCAGCACCATTACACCAGAGAAAACACCAATCAGTGGATGATATGACAATTAGTGATATGGATATAGAGATCGATTGTGAGATCGATGCTGAGATCGATAGTGAGATCGATCGTGAGGAGGATAGTAAGGTCGACGGTGAGACCGCCAGTGAAGTCGATTCATGGAGAACGATGGTGAGATCAATCGTGAGATCGATCGTGAGATCGCTCGTGAGATCGCTCGTGCGATCTATAGTGAGATCGGTAGTGCGATCGATTGTGAGATTGATAAAGAAGTGGGTAATGAGGTCGACGGCGAGATATCACTAAGGAGATCGACAAGGAACCCAGGAACCCGGAAGCCCGGGAAACCCGCCAGCCACAGAGTTCAGCTCAGAACCAGCAGCCGGGAACCCGGGAACCCAGAACTGGGAACCAGGGAACCCGGCCGCCTGCCGAAATTGGCCGGGCGGTTGCGCCAAATCGTTCAACCTCCGCTAGGACCCCTTCAGTGCAAGAACTGCTAATCACACCCATCACCATCATCATCACCACCATCGTCATCACCATCACCACCATCACCATCATCACCACCACCAGCATCATCATCATCGTCATCATCAAAGGCCGCTGCGCTCTCAGGCCTTCTTAAGGAGTAGTGGCCTTTCTGCAACACCCTCCCGCCAGCCCCAGAGGCGGAGGGCCCGAAGGTACCCCGCACACCGCCATGTCGCCGTGTGGTGTTCCAGCGCGCGGGCGCCGCGCACCGGCCGAGCATTGTCAGAAGGCCTGGCACCACATGACCTCGGCGGATGAAGCACGTTGTGCGCCCCCGTGGTCGGGCGGCGCTCACGAGCTCAGGCGCACCGCGATCGGCTTCGACGGCGCCACTTCCGGATGGGTGCTGCCACTGGCCTTCCGCCAGGACTTGTACTACGACAAGAGGACCGACAGGATCTACGACATGCAGATGACCTACCGCACACCGCCGTCGTCACCGACAAGGTGCCAGAGCTCATTCTCGAGGAGAGCTTGAACGAGAGCACGCAGTTCACGTGCGATTTCTCCCACACGCTTGAGGAGGAACTGCGCTACGGGACCGAGCTCAACACCTCGACCACAAGGGACGAGATCAGCCGCCCGAACGAGCATACCGACTCCATCGATGAGTTTATCCCCGTCGACATCCACGACGCCATCAACCAGGCCATCGCCATCCAGAGGACCCGCCTCACGGGCACCAGCGAAGAGATCGTATGCTCGGCCGTCGAGCGCGTGTTCGACGCCACCGTTTCTCACCCCTTCTGGGAACAGGACGGCACGCTGATGGCTGTCTATCGATTACAGCAACGACCTCGACGCTTACCGCGGGCTCCACTGAGCACGCACAAGCATTGCTAGCGCCTTTTGCTATGTCTCGGTTTTTTTCCAGCCACGCCCGTGCCCGAGCACGCACGCTGCTATAGTCGATGCGGACAATGGCCTCGACTTCCGTTCGCTGCATGGTCATGTATCGAGCGTCAGTGTATGCCGAAATTCTTTCGTCGCGTGGCTAGCGCTGCGCAAGACGCCTCCCTGTGCAGCACCCACGGATGCCAGGCCCATGCGGGGCAGTACGAAATCATTGGATGCTCCCTGCGACGGACCCTCGATTGCATACGACTGTGTTCACTTTGTGTGTTGCTTGGTCCTGATGTCGGGAAACGAATCGTCATCATCATCATAATCATCATCAACACCACCACCGTCATCATCATCATCATCATCACCACCACCATCACCACCACCACCACCACCACCACCACCACCATCATCATCATCATCATCATCATCATCATCATCGTCATCATCATCATCATCATCATCATCATCATCATCATCATCCTCATCCTCATCCTCATCCTCATCCTCATCCTCATCCTCATCATCATCATCATCACCATCATCATCATCAGCATCACCATCACCATCACCATCATCATCATCATCATCATCATCATCATCATCATCATCATCATCATCATCATCATCATCATCATCATCATCATCGGCATCACCATCACCATCACCATCAGCATCAGCATCAGCATCATCATCATCACCATCACCATCATCATCGTCATCATCAACATCGCCATAGCCATAGTCCTTCATCATCGTCATCATCATCGTCATCATCCTCATCATCCTCGTCAGCATCGTCAGGGGGTTAACCCTTCCCCTTATCCCCTCCCCCTGAGTCTGGACGGGGTGGGTGGGGAGGCGTTGGAGCGTCCAAGATGGCCCAAGATGGCTCCAAGACGGCATCCAAGAGCCCAAGATGGCATCCAAGATAGCGAAAGATAGCGCAAGATCCCTCAATATTGCTTTCAACGTACTCCAAGACGCCCCAAGACCGCTTCAAGATGGGCCCAAGCGCCCACAAAGCCTCGCAAGGCGGCCCCCAAGACGCCAATAAATGTCAAAAGACGTAAGCAAATCAGCGATGTTTGCATTATCCCCCAGACGGCCCCCGATGGCCTTCCGAGGCCTTAAGCTGGCTCCAAGATGGTCGGAGAGGGCCCAAGAGAGGTTCCAAGATAGCCCTGAGACGGCCCCCCAGAACGCCAAAGAGCCCTCCAAGAGCGGCCCAAAGAGGGCCCCAAGAGGCGCCTTTGGGGGTTCAAGCGGGGGCTCCCCCTTCCTTGATCGATATCCTCCAAAATGGCCCCAAGAGGGCCTCCAAGGCCCCCCATAACGGCCCCACGATGGCGCCACGAAGCGTCTATGATGCCCCAAGAGACCCACAAGAGGCCCCCAGGAGGCCCCCAAGCGGCCCCAAAAAGCCAGAAGAGGCACCTCAGAGGCACCCAAGACGCCTCAAGAGGCCCCCCGGACCGCGAAGAGGCACTCACGAAGCCCCAAGAGGCCTCCAAGAAGCGCCCAAGAGATATCGCAAGAGACTCTGAGAGGCCTCCATTGGCCTTTCTGCTGGCCCTCCTCCTTCTTCTCCTCCTCCTCCTCCGCCTACTCATCATCATTATCCCTCCTCCTTTCTTCATCCTCCCCCCCTCCTTCGAAGGATAACGGCTGGCCCCCTCGTTGCTCCTACACGTCCCTGCCCACCTCAACTCGCCGGGGCGTCGTTTCTGGATGGGCTGGCGGGGATACGCGAAGCGTCAAGAATTCAACATAGAATTAGGCATGGGAAGCCGTGGACCTATCCATGAACTAGCCATGAGGAGCCATGGAACGAGCCAGATGAAACCATCAACAAACCATCGCAAGCCATGGAACTAGCCATTGGTAGCCACGGAAATGGCCACAACAAGCCATGGAAGTAGCCATAGTAAGCTGTAGAAGTAGCCATGACCAATCATGGACCTAGCCATCGGAAGATATTGCGCGAGCAGTGTAACATACCATGGCAACGGCCATAGGAAAACATGGAAGTAGCCATAAGAAGGCGTCGGTCTAGCCGTAGGATTCCGAGGACCTGACCATGGGAGGCCAAGGAACCATCCATAGGAAGACATGCAAGTAGCCATCGCAATACTGGAAACTGCACTATTGGAGGCCACGGAACTAGCCACAGCAAGCCACGGAACTAACCATAGGAATCTGTATAAACAGCCATGACACACCATGGAACTCGCCATGGGAAACCATTGCGCCATATATCAAACAAGTCGTGAAACTAGGATTTTGCAGTAAGGGAATTTACCATGGGAAACAATTGATCTAGCCGTGGAAAGGCATGGCGCTGGGCACGGAACGAGATGCGGAACGAGCCATAGTAATCCACCGAACCAGCGATGTGAAGCCATGACTCTAGCCATGGGACGCCGTGGGGCTAGCCACTAGAAGCTATGAAGAGAGCCATGGGGAGTCATGGACCCACCCATGGCAAGCCATGGAGCCAGCACTGGGAAGCCGTGGAAGTAGCCACGAAGCCAGACATCGGGAGCCCTGAAAGACTCCCTAAGCAGCCATGGAACTAGCCATAGGAAGCCACGCAACTAGCCACAGGCAGATGTAGAAGTAGCCGTGGGAAAGCATGAATCGAGCCAGCCATAGGCAGCCATACAGCTCGGCATAAGAAGCAATGGGACCAGCCATCGGGCGCCGTGGAACAGGCCACGGCACCAGACATAAGAAGCCATGGCAATAGCTATTGGAAGCCGTGGAAGTGGCCATGGGAAACAAAGATAGTTGCCCGAGTAAGCCATGCTACTGGCCGTGGAAAGCCGCATAACTAGGCAGGGGATGCCATAAATGAGCCGGACGCCATGGAAGTAGCCATTGAAGTAGCAGGATGCTACAGGGTCCATTTCAGAGGTGCGCCCAAGTACCATGAAAAGTCCCTTACGGATTTAGCTGGGGCTCCCATGAGCAAGCCTACTTGGAGAAAAATCTCGGTGGCTCCTCCAGCTGCACGGATGGAGGGAGGGTCCTTTTCATCATGGATGGGGGTCGGCCCCCTCTCCAACTGAATGGATTGGGAGACTTTCGGGGTCGAACCTGAATATCTCGTATGTACATTTCAAAGCACGGGAAAGTTCTCACCATGCGGGCCCATGAGGCTATCCCGTTTGGAGCGGGCGCTCGCCGTTGGGACGGGAAATGTGTGCATGGGCCTGGGACGGGAGGGTCTATTGCAACATCAATGTTTGGGTGATGGGGTCACTCTGATACCCCTCTTCCTCATCCCCCTGTTGCCGCTCTTGCAGCTCGAATCCCGATGCCCCTTCCTCCTCCAAGTGGCTGTCGGGCTGTAACCCGGGCCTCCGGCGGGCGTCTGGCACGATCGGGGGGCCCTCCTATAAACAATCTCGGCGGGAAGCAGATGTTGGACAGTGTCCCGTCCCGACGCGGCGAAGCCTCCAAGAGCCAACGGAAACGTCAAGTAAACCGGCTTCTCGGCGGCACACCATGAAGTTTGGGTCAGGGCTCCGAGCGACCAAAAAAAAGATTGCACCCAGCCGGTTTTACTTTGCGGCCCGAATTGCGAGGCGGATCCTGCCGTGGCCACCGCCAGGGCGCTGGAAGCTAAACGAGAACAAACAGAGAGTACAAAGACCACACAAGTGGGCGCCTCCGAGAACCTGCGAGGCAGAGTCCCGACTGCGCGGACCTGGTGCCCCTAAAACTGCACCAGACCTGCGCTGGCCACGCGGGGCGCGCGGCGCTCGCGACAGCGCCACGGCTTGCGCGGAGCGCGGGGCCTGGGGCGCTGAACCACCCCTCTTAGTCCGGACCCCCAGGCGCCCCTACCCGTGAACAAGCTCCCCCTGGCCCTTGCGAGGGGGTTCCACGACGCCACATAACGGCCCCTAGGCGCCCCCCGATTTTCCTGACAGGTTCCCAGGCGGCCGCACGGAGAGCCCCACAGAGCCCAACACGCTGCACAAGGAACACGATGATCTCGCCAGGCTTCCGAGAAGCCCCAATCTCAGACCACCAAAAATAATCATGAGCATTCCTAGCGTGTTCGACGTTTTATGATGCTCCGCTCTGATCAACAACATGTTGCTCCCAGGAGGCCTTGAAAGAACGACACATAAAGTTGTAAGAAGGTTCCGGCGGGGCTGCAAGATGGACCAGGACTGACCCAAGAAACCCCAACCCCATGAGGACCGACACTGGCCAATGGAGGAGCCCAGGACGGCCAAGAGGGCCCCAACACAGCGCCAGACGGCCCGTCCGATAGGCCACAAGCACCCCGCATGCCCTCGAAGATTCCACGGCGGGCCCACGACGGCCCAATATTGTTCAAGGGTGCTCCCATAGGTTCACAAAGGGCCTCCTGAGAGGATCCCAACATGGGCCCAAATGGCCCCAAGACACACCAGGGATGCGGATCGCAAGACCCCCACCATGAATTATGACGAGGCGGTCGTGGGGGAATGGAAGAATCGTAGAAAGGAAGACGCAGAGGAAGAGGAGGAGGAGGAGCCCACCTGCCCATGCCCATCATTCCTTCTTCTCCGACCCTCCTCATCCTCATCAGATCATCATCGATACCCCCATCGGTACCCGCGCACTTGTCCGCGCCCTCCTATTCCTGATCCTCCTCCTCTTCCTCATTTTCCTCATTGCGTGCCCCCCTAACCCTGCGCATGTTTATGTTGGGTTTTGGATTGCCACCAGACAGACGCCCAACTTGGACCACGAGAGGTCGCGGGAAGAAACACCTACGATACATATTCGCTCGGCCGTGCTAGAGGGACAGGTTGGACAAATCGTGGGCGCGTTGCGCTTGAGCTGACAGACACGCACCACTGAGGGCCCAATGCTGACTGGAACTTGTGATTTCTCGGGGGGGGGGGGGGGGGCGCAACGTTCGCAGCCAGGCCGGGCACAACGAAACCACACAAAAACAGACCCGCCTGATATGTGTTACCGCATGCTTTTCTCACTGGATTCCAGGGGCGCGCTGCGGCGAGGTGCCGCCCCCCTTGCGGCAGCAGTGCCGAGAAACACTGAGCCAAGGAGCAAAGGGAACAGCGTGCTGAAACGCGTGCCCGGCACGAGTACCACTACCCAGTGCCAAAGGGAGGCATGGCAAAGGAGACGGCGTTGGAGGGGGTTGACGAGGAGGGGAAGGCAAGGAGAAGAAAGGGAGGAGCATGAGGAATACAGGCGTGGTGGCTGGACGGTTGGCTCGTCCTGCAGGGGGAACCACATGGTGTCATCATTGTCATTGTTCGTGGCCGCGTACGTGGTCACCTTCACATTGCTGACGCCCACGCCGTCCAACGCGACCGTGAGGCACTTCACGTCGTGAGTTGAAGACATGGGAGACGACTGAAGAACGCAGAATTCCTCTGCGAAGCTGGAAATCTCACCCCAGGGACCCCCCAAAACGGATGTCACGCCGCGAGGCGCGTTCGGGGAGAGCCCGTCGCATCCGCCAGCCTGCGCGCCAACCAGTACTGGTAAGCCTCAAAGTCCTCGATATCCCTCGAGCTGTTCGAAGGCACCTTCGCTTTGGAAGAAGAAGCACGGATTCCAGCCATCAACTAGTCAGGCCGACGAACTTTCTTCGACTTCCTCGTGCTCTTCACGAGCGCGCGCTTCAACCCACCTGGCACGCGTCGCACACGAGTGGACCGGGTGCTCGCGAGCACACCCAAATCGACGTGGTTGCTCTCGTTCCACATGGGGTGGTTCTCGAAGGTTTCAGCGAACAGCGTGAGCTTCTCGGCTAACAAACCCAAGAAGAACGCGTGGCGGTCTCTCCATGCCTTCGTCTTTTGCGCAATGCGGGATTCGCGGGCCACGCGTTCCAAGAAATGTGGCAACAGGACGTCTTCTGTCAAACCTTTGCCAACGAACTGTTGTTTGTGCATGCCCCGTTCCCGCTGCGACGCAAAAAGCGCGTCCAATTCTACTTTGCCGCTTACGATACACACTGTCACTTTGGCATCGGGCAAATCGATAGCGACGGACTCCTGATTCATGATCTTCACCAACATAGCCTCAACGGGCAACATGCTGGCAGGGACTCCGCCGATCACGCGGAGCAGCTTGTACTTTGCAGCGCAGACAGACATGTGCAAACACAGCAACACTGCAGCACCCACGGTCATCGTGAACTCTACCTCGGAATTCAGGTCGGGCGCGCATGCGCCATTCTCGCCTAGCCGGCGCCGCTTGCGAGCCCGATCGGACTTGCGACTCGACCGAATGTGATCTGGTGGCAACCGCATATTCTCCAGCACCTTCCTCCAACCTGGCGCCTGCCTGCCAATGTAATTCAGTGGGTATTTGGGGCCCAGCAGGAAATTGACGAACCAGGGAATCGTGAAACAAACCCTTGACGCCTAGGAGGTCTTCGGGGCCCTCAACGCTGGACAGCAGTTTCGGCAAGGCATGCCAATAGGCCTCCCCTTTGAACTCGAGGCCGCCGGGCGCGCTGAATGACAAAACTCTGCTGTCGAGAATCAAGTCATGATCAGATATATTCGTGACACAACCAGTGGTATTGTTGGACATCAATGACGGCACTTGATTTCCGTCGAGATACAAGCTGTTCGCCAAGAGGTCCCTGACCCGAACGTTGATAATGGGGCTGTCGGGATCTCGGCTGTCCGATTGACCAGATAACAACAACTGCCCACCATCCACCACGAGCTTGTAAGGACCTGCTGTGGTATGGGGCCCATACACCACTCTTCGCTCGCCCGTAGCGTTGGCACGAGAACTTGGGAGGTAGCGAAGTCCCACAACGCGACCCACCCATCATTCTCGCGGCCTGGGTAAGCAAGGCAAGTGGACGACATCGGATTAAGACTGCAATGCAAAATGCGACTGCCTCGCAGGCACGCCCGATATTTTACAGTATCGGGGAAGCCACCCGAATGCACGGGCGGCCTCGGATGCCTGACCTCAGAAAGGCCTCCTGCCCCAAAGAGGCTCTGGGAGAGTGGAGGGAGGAAGCGGAGGGGGGGGAGAGGAGACAGGGAGCAAGGAAGGGGGGCGAGGGAGAACACGGGGTGAAGAAGATAAGGATCAGCTGGAGAAGGAGGAAAAGGACGACAAGGAGGAGGGTCAGGAGAAGGAGGAGGGGAATGAGAGGAGGTGGGGAGCAGAAGGAAGAACGGAAGAGGGGGGGGAATGAGGGGAGGGAGGGGAGGGAGGGCAGGGAAAGGAAGGGAGGGGAGGAGGAAGTATGGTGTGAGGGGAAGGGAGGAAGAGGAGGAATAACGGAGATGGAAGAGGAATCAGCACGCCAATGATTGACGCTGCTTTCGAGCGTGGCCAAGCAGAGCACTGCGCACAAGCATATCGACTGCATGCAGACAGGCAAGGCAACGCACGTTTGCCTCGTTTCCGTGCTGAAGACGGCCCAAGATGCGGGCGCATATTTGCTCGAACAAATCCGACGAAGCGCCCCCGAGACCCACGACGGCCCCAAAAATAACCAAGATGGCCTATGTTAGGCTGACTGACAATATGGCCGAAGACGGCCCCCAGACGGTCACCGCCCCCACCCCCACAGCGACGCCAAGAGCCCAAACAGATTCAACAGACGAGTTGGACAGGGACGTGGACAGAAGATCCCTAACTGGAGCCCCGAGGGAGCACGAGGCCCGAGACAGCGCCCCAGAATCCCGCGCGAGAGGCCCTCAGCAGGCCCTTCATTGCTGCCTCAAGCGCGTCGTACCAAATACTCGATTTGGATATGTGCGCGCTCTCTCCCCCGATTGGGGGGGATAATCAACGCGGGAGGGGGGAAGATGAAGGGGGAAAAGGGATGAGGGGGAGAAGGGCCCATTGCCACCCGGAAAGGCAAGACTAATGCACCACTGGAACTCCTAAACATCAGGGGGGCAACCACGACGAAGGCAAGACGAATGCACCACTGGAACTCCTCAACAGCAGGGGGCACCCACGACGACCGCAAGACGAATGCAACACGGGAGTCCCTAAACAGCAGGGCGCACCCACGACGAAGGCAAGACGAATGTACCACTGGAATACCCAAACAGCACGGGGCAACCACGACGAAGGCAAGGCAAATGCATCACTGGAGCTCCTAAACAGCAGGGGGGCAACCACGACGAAGGCAAGACGAATGCACCACTGGAACCCATAAACAGCAGGGGGCAACCACGACGAAGGCAAGACGAATGCACCACTGGAACTCCTAAACAGCAGGGGGCGCCCACGACGAAGGCAAGACGAATGCGCCACTGGAACTCCTAAACAGCAGGGGGCAACCACGACGAATGCAAGGCGAATGCATAACTGGAATACCCAAACAGCAGGGGGCAATCACGACGAAGGCAAGACGAATGCACCACTGGAGCTCCTAAACAGCAGGGGGCACCCACGACGAAGGCAAGACGAATGCACCACTGGAACTCCTAAACAGCAGGGGGCACCCACGACGACCGCAAGACGAATGCAACACTGGAGTCCCTAAACAGCAGGGCGCGCCCACGACGAAGGCAAGACGAATGCGCCACTGGAATTCCTAAACAGCAGGGGGCAACCACGACGAAAACAACGCGAATGCACCACTGGAACTCCCGAGCAGCAGGGGGCAACCACGACGAAGGCACGACGAATTCACCACTGGAATTCCTAAACACCAGGGGACAACCACGACGGAGTCAAGACGAACACCGATCGCACCTAGTATCTGGGCCACTGGCGTGCATCGAATAACGGACGTGGTCCGACCGTCGAACAACAGCGAACGTCAACCAAAAACGCTCGACGGCCGAGGCTCGTTAACATGAGCTCCTCCTCTTCCCCCTTCCCCCCCCTGCCCCGATCCTCGCATTCTGCCTTATCTTTCGTTCTTGGCTTTCCTCCTACATCCTCGCACTTCCTCCATCCTCGTGGCATGCGTGCTCGCGTCGAACGCGGCGGTGCTCGACGTGGCGTTTGCGTTGCTTGCGGGCCCGTTACCCCACCTGCATGGACCACTGGATTTCCGAAACAAGCCCCGTGGATGGCGCACATGACGCCGGGCCCTGCTCTTAGCCATTCATGCGCCTGCCGCTCGCCGTTGGCGCTGTGGCGCTCTTTTCCCAGGCGCCGCGGCGCCTTTGTGTTTCCAGCGGCGCTGGCCGCACTAGCTCGCTGGGTTTAGGATGGGCGTGGCAAGCAGCAGCAGGGCAATAGGTTGCACTGGTTCCCTACAAGGCGCTGTTAGCGCTGGCGCTAATCACCGTCGGCGATGCCGTTACTGTTCGATCTCTGTCACAACCTGGGTCGGTCGCCATCCCAAACAGTCAACTCTGGGAGCCACTGCTGTACAAAAGTTGCGGGACCCGGGCTTCCCTCTGCAAAAACTGGCCCCCATCAGCCCATCTCCTCGGAGTGGATATCCCTACGCCTTGCTCGGAGACCCCTTACTCGGCGCCGCGCCCTGAGTCGGCGCCGCGCCCTGACTCGGCGCCGCGCCCTGACTCGGCGCCGCGCCCGAGCCCGTGCCCTTTCCCGCCGCCAACCTCTGCCGCAACGATGAGCCCACCCACTGCGCCTTCTCCTCCTGGGCGCGGGCGACTTTGGGCCTCTTGCCTGATCCCCCGTGGCTGCTGGGGGCAACGCTGGCCGCGCCATCCCCCGGGCCGCCCGGGCTGGCCGCGTCCTCCGCCTTAGGCTTGTTCGTGAAGCCTTGCACCGTCTTTGGCTTATCGAGGTCGGGCACCTGCAACCCTTTTTCCTTGAACATGTCCACCGGCGGCTCCGACATCATCGCCCTGCCGCCCATCTTCTTCATCTTGGCAGGGGAATTGATGTCGAAGGGGCCCTCGATCTCCACCTCATCGGCGAAGGCGAAGTCGATGGATTCGTCTTCGCCGGGCATGAGCGAGCACAGGCACTTCTTGGCCAGCATGCGATACCAGCCTGCCGCGTCGGCAAGCTGAACCATCGACATGTCCTTCACGTCCTTCATGGGCTTGCCATTGAGCGCGTAGGCGGCCACGAACCAGTCGATCAAATCGTCGATGTGCGACCCCTTGTCGGTGCACTGTGATGGAAGCTCTGCGTCTGGAGAAGCCCCGACAGCCCAAGCGAGCATCCCGACAAGGTCAACCTTTGGCCAGTCCGCGCCGTCGAACAGATCCGGCTCCATCCTCTGGAAGGCGGGTTTCACGACGACGTCAACGTACTTCACAAGGTGCTTGATCCTCTTGCAGGCCACTGCGATTTTCCTCCTCTTCGGAGGCGGTGGTCCAGGCTTCATCGTTGCGTCGCCCTTCTTGTGGGTTCCATTCATGAGGTCCATGAGCGCGCCATCGCTCGCGAGGCTTTCGAGGGTCATCT